TTCCTTCCCGCGGGCGTCGAGTAAGCGCCGTAGCCTCTGCCTCTGCCTCGAGAAGGCGGTTCAGCAATTGGACTGGTTTCACAGCTGTTTGATCCGTCTGTGCGGGGATTGAGCGTTGTCCCCTCGCGCAGGGCGTGAGGTTTTTTACGGGTGTTCCAGTTTCCTCCTCCCCCACGTGTATCACCACTGCCTCAAGCAGCGCCACCACCATCGACACAACCATCTCAACTAAACTACACACACTTTAAATTAACCAGGTAAGGCGCACTGAGCTATAGAGAGCTATTTTGCAGAAGCGACCGGCGCGTGGGGCCCTGAAATCTCGTCGCCTGAAAGCCCTCATCACGGATGGCTCGCAACACCCCCCCCCCCCCCCCACAAATCCTCCCCCCACCCCCCAAATATATGGCTCTCTATGTAACTCTGTGTCTCCATATACCTCTATAGATCTCTATGTAACTAACTGGATCTCTATGTAACTAACTGGATCTCTATGTAACTAACTGGATCTCTATGTAATTATATGGATCCCTATGCAGCTCCATGGCTCTCTAAGTAACTCTACGCCCTGTAACTGCCCCCACTGCTGACGGACTTTTGGGCCGTGGCCGTTTCTTGTACCAGAGCCGCTTCGCTCGGTGTGGCTGCGCGGTGTGGCTGAGCGGTGTGGCTGAGCGGTGTGGCTGGGCGGTGTGGCTGAGTGGTGTGGCTGGGCGGTGTGGTTGAGCGGTGTGGTTGCGCGGTGTGGCTGGGCGGTGTGGCTGAGCGGTGTGGCTGGGCGGTGTGGCAGAGCGGTGTGGCTGAGCGGTGTGGCTGAGCGGTGTGGCTGAGGGGTGTGGATGGGCGGTGTGGCTGAGCGGTGTGTCTGAGCGGTGTGGCTGAGGGGTGTGGCTGAGCGGTGTGGCTGAGCGGTGTGGCTGAGCGGTGTGGCTGAGGGGTGTGGATGGGCGGTGTGGCTGAGCGGTGTGGCTGAGCGGTGTGGCTGGGCGGTGTGGCTGGGCGGTGTGGTTGTGCGGTGTGGCGAAACGCTGAGCGTCGCAGTGCACCTCCCATCCTCGTGCCCTGGCCTCGATTCCCTGGGCCAGGGAAGTCACAAGCACGTGTGTCGGCCCCCACCACCGCACCGCTAGGGGACGCCGCACACGCCGATATCGTTTTGCCGAACGTTAGCCCAACGTTTGCCGAACGTTAGCCCAACGTTTGCCGAACGTTTGGTGATTGTTCAGCACCCCCTTCTGTCCCCGACGTCCACGCCGGACGACCTCATGGTGAACGGAGTATCGTGCGTTTTTACTGAACGCCGTAAATATTTTAAATATTTTTTTAAATTCACTCGGGGTTATTGCGAGACCTGCCACTTTGTCAACCCCTTATCAGTGCCCTACCTTATTACAGACCAATTCAGACCTTATTGGTCACCCCGTGCCCCTTATAAATCTCAACATTCATCCTACAAAGTCCCTTCACAAGGGAGAAACACAAACAAATGGACAATGTGTTTTCGCCCCGTATTGAAACGGCTGTACGCCGTATGGACCTGAAAACTCAATTTCCCTGTACAATAATACGGGGTTAAACCGTTCCGTGTTGACAGCTATGGACCTGTCACTTCATCACCTCCCCGGCTGGTGGAAAATCCACGTTCCTATGGCGAGGGGCGAGCCACAGGCTCTCCAACGGGTCAATTTCTCCCACAAAAAGCAGTGCTCGTTTTAAGCGACATGATACACAGCCACGAAGATGAACGACGCGGCCATAGTTTACGATAAATGAAACAACGTCACGGTACATTCACGAGGATGTGATTGGTCGCGAAAGCCTACGTGCTAAACTCATAAAATGTTATTATTGTTGTTAGTCCACTGCTGGACGAAGGCCCTCCCGATGTTTGCTTTCACCAAACTGCACCCGTCGGTTGTGAGTAGGTTACAGGGCGATGGGGGCGCCCAGGATTGCGTCATGCATCATTCGCCGCTGATGTTAGCCGTGGCAGGGAATTGAATTGAGGTCAGTGGGGTTCAGAGTGCACGAGCCACACGCACAAGACAAAGATCCCCCCTATAGCCCGAGCAGACTGTTGGGGCAAGTGCCTACGAAGGCCGTAACACACGCAAATAAAGACACAGATCCCCCGTATGGCACGAGCAGACTGTTGGGGCAAGTGCTGTATGCGAGTATCACCTATAAAGGCCGGCACACACTAACACACACTAACACACAAAGACAAAAATCCTTCGTTTAGACTGCACAGACTGTAGGGGCAAGTGCTATTATCGAGCACCTATGAAGGCCGGCACGGCACACGAGGGGGTGGGTGGCCAACACCACGCCCGACCGCCTTTGTCTCCCTAGTAGCAATGTTTACACATCGCACTAGGTACTAATTTGAGGCCGAGTTGAACCGGGTGAGGCCTAGAACCGGTTCAGATCATCTTTCATTTACGCGCCAGGTTCGTAGCGCAGCGCGCTATCCGCTACACCACCACTCCCCCCCCTCACACACACACACACACACTTCTGGCTGTCACATTTGACCCGCGCATCGCGCATCTGACACTTCTAAGTGTCGCGCACGCGTGCGATTTCCCTGGTGACACGCACGAGCAGCGCGCCTCACAGACAGCGCTTTACCGCACGGCAATTGATCAGCGATCGTATCGCAAGGAGACGGCATAGCGCCTTCTGGGCGAGGGGCATTGGCCCTCAACAACCACGTAGAGCAGCAGCAGCAGCAGATGCACTGAACGAGACGCAACTTCGTAGCACTACCTCGCCTGGTGTACAGGAGGGCGTGGGGGTTCCATCCCGACCCTGACGCATGCTGTATAATTAGAGTTTGCACGTCTCTCTCTCTCTCTCCGTGGCGAGATGGTAACTACCTCGCCTGGTGTACTGGAGGCATTGGGTTCCATCCCGATCCTGACGCCTGCTGTATATTTGGAGTTTGCGGTCTCTCTCTCCCCGTGATCGCGTAGATATTTCTCCGGGTCCTCCGGGTTTTCCCTCCACATTCAGAATCAACGTCACGCGTTTAGGGCATTTGGCTGCTACGAATTTCCACACGATGATCATGAGCCACTTCGCTGAACTTTCATCTGTGACGGCCAGGTCGCTTCTGAAAAAAGAGCTTCACAGCTGAGTGGTGCTTACCTGGTAAAATAAAGCAAATATATATACATACCATAATAATCAACACGTTGCGTATCAATAACACTGTGTGTGTGGCCTTAAACGTGAACACATATGTAATAGGCAACGTTTCGGGTAACGACCCTTCTGCTTAGCGCAGTGTATATGACATCAGCTATTCGATAACTGATCCGGTGAGGTGTGACGATGCAGCCGGTAGAAAGCGGGCTGTGACACCCTCGTCAGGATGAATTGATGACGATGAATCAAGTGATTTGCTGCTGCTGATGAGGGTGGTGGTGCTGATGTTGATGATGATTTTGATGAATGAATGGACGATTTGACTCCGACGATTCCGATGAAGAATCAATTATGTTGATGAACAGATGACGTCTATCATGATGAATCGATTCGCGTGATAATGATTAATTGATTTATCTTATTTAGCTGATGACAATGCTGATGCTGTGTTTGCTGATGATGACAGCGATACTTGTCATTATAATCACGACAGATCGATAGCAATCCCCCTCCTCCTGCTCCCTCCTGCCCCCTCCACCCCCTCCACCCCCACCTCCGACGACGAGGACGTGACAGGATCCTCCTTAAATAGTCACGAAACTGAGCGAGACTCTCCTAGGGTAAAGCAACGAAATAATAATAATCGTCACCATCATCACGAAATCACCAACCAACAAAGGCAAAGATGTACCGTATAGCCTTAACCGACTGTCGAGGCAAGTGCTGTTAGCGAGTAGCACCTATGAAGGCCGGAACCCACAAAAATGAAGACAAAGATCGCCCGTATAGCCTTAACAGACTGTTGGGGCAAGTCCCGCATGAGCACACGAGGGGAGGGGGGGGAGGTGACCAAGGCCAAGCTCGTCCGCCTTCATCTCCCCAGTGGCGATGTTTACACACCGCACCCGGCACTCCATTGAGGCTGAGTCGAGCTAGGGGAGGCCCAGGACCGGTGCAGATGATCGTCACCTGGGTGTTGGCGGCGGCGAGCGGGAATCGAACCCCGGGCCGCCGGGTTCGCATGGGCAGCGCTAACCGCTGCACCACTGCTCCCCATACTAACAGATCCTCCGTGCAGCCTTGAGCAGACGTCCGGGGCATGTGCTGTTAGAGAGCGAGTGGCACCTACGAAGGCCGGCAGGGCTCACGACGTCAGGGGGCAGAGGAGGCAGGGTGGGGGGGCTGAGACCACGCCCGGCCGCCTTTGTCTCCCCAGTGGGCGATACTCTGCCGCACCGCGTGCTCGGTTGAGGCTGGGCTCAGAGTAATCGTCACTTGGTGCCATTACCACCAGTGACATCACCACTAGTGACACCACCAATTACCATCACTACCAGTGACGTCACCACCAGTTATCATCACCACCAGTGACGTCACCACCAGTTATCACCACCAGTGACACCGCCACCAGTGACGTCACTACCAGTGTGACATCACCAGTTATCATCACGAACAGTGACAACGCCACCAGTGACGTCACTACCAGTGACACCACCACCAGTGACGTCACTACCAGTGACATCACCAGTTATCATCACCAACCGTTACGTCACCACCAGTGATACCGCCAGTGACGTCACCACCAGAGACCATCACTGGCAGTGATACCGCCAGTGACGTCACCACCAGTGACCATCACTGGCAGTGATACCGCCAGTGACGTCACCGCCAGTGACCATCACTGGCAGTGACGTCACCACCACCAGTGACACCACCAGTGACACCAACAATTATCATCACCACCAGTAATACCACCACCAGTGACACCACCACCGACACCACCACCACCACCAAGACGATCGCCGTCGCTCGCCACCACAGCGCAAGCGCAGCAGCGTCCGACGCGTTACCGTGAGCGGGATGGTGCAGGTGAGCGACGTGATGGTGATGAGCACCAGCAGGACGAGGTTGTTCGCCTCCTCTCCCCGCAGGATCCTCCTGCGGCTCGACGAGACCCGCGCCGCCACCGGCACGTGCCGTCCCACCTGATGGCTCTCGTCCTCCTCATTCTCATTCTGCTGCTGCTGCTGATTCTGCTGCTGCTGCTTCAAAAAGCGAGGCGCTGCGTTGCCGCAGGCAGGTGCCGCGTGGAGGCTCCGCTTCCTCTTCCTGTTCATCATCTTCAGGAGTCCGTGCATCACCGACGCGTTGCACACGATGATGGTGAGGCAGAGCGCGGCGAGGATGGCCGCGTAGAGCACGGAGTAGGCAGCGTCCCAGCCTCCGCTCGCCTTCATGTCCACGTAGCACCACGTGCCCGGCTCGTAGAGCTTCACCTGCCCGAAGCCCAGCAAGGGGGGCAGGCAGAGTGCCAGGCTGAGCAGGTAGGAGAGGCGGATCGCAGTCCACGCGGACGCGCGCCGCACCACGCGCTCGTACAGGTACGGGTGGCCGATGGAGAGGTAGCGCTCGACGGCCATCGCGCAGAGGATGGCGAGCGTGGCCACGCCGAAGAAGAGCAGCATGAAGCTGAGGTAGCCGCACAGAGCGTGCCCTCCGAGAGCCACCACCGTCTTGTTGTGGGCGTAGGCGGTGAGAGGCACGGGCCCCGTGAGCGAAGAGCCCAGGAGGTCGGTGAGCGTCAGGCCGAAGACGAGGGCGTAGAAGGCGGTGCGCTTGGTGGCGCGACGCGCCGACAGGAGCAGCGCCAGGGCGATGATGTTGCCCGAGACGCCGACCGTGAAGACGACGGCGCTCGACGTGGCGTTGTAGGTGGGCGGGATGAACGTGGAGTTCTTGTCGAAGCCCGGCATGGTCGATGCGTGGGATGGGGGGGGTTGAGGGTCGATGGAGGTCGAGCGGTTGGTTGACGAGTTGGTTGGTTGAGCGGTTGGTTGACGAGTTGGTTGAGAGGTTGGTCGGTTGACGAGTTGGTTGGTTGAGCGGTTGGTTGACGAGTTGGTTGAGAGGTTGGTTGACGAGTTGGTTGAGAGGTTGATCGGTTGACGAGTTGGTTGGTTGAGCGGTTGGTTGACGAGTTGGTTGAGAGGTTGGTCGGTTGACGAGTTGGTTGGTTGAGCGGTTGGTTGACGAGTTGGTTGAGAGGTTGGTCGGTTGACGAGTTGGTTGGTTGAGCGGTTGGTTGACGAGTTGGTTGAGAGGTTGGTTGACGAGTTGGTTGAGAGGTTGATCGGTTGACGAGTTGGTTGGTTGAGCGGTTGGTTGACGAGTTGGTTGAGAGGTTGGTTGACGAGTTGGTTGAGAGGTTGGTTGACGAGTTGGTTGAGAGGTTGGTTGACGAGTTGGTTGAGAGGTTGTTTGAGAGGTTGATCGGTTGGGAGGTGGGTGATTAGTTGATCGGTTCGCTTGGTTGGTTAGGAGCTTGGTTGAGAGGTGAGCTGTTGCTGCTGCTGTGGTGACTTCTGCTCCCCCCCCCCCCCCCCCCCCCCAGCTGCTGTCGGGAATACAATGAGAAGCGTGGATGAGGACAGCGAGGATGTTGATTGGTGGCTGATGGTGTTCCAGAGCTACCACCAACAGCAGGATGGGGGTGACGTCTGCTACAACAATCACCAGCAACGAGACGGCAATGGAATCACGACCAATCGAGTTGACGATTGCTGCAACCTCCGTCAACAGCAACGATAGTGGTGACATTAACTACATCAAGAAGATCTGGGCGATGGATCACACCACCCACGCTTACACTCGGGCGGTGTGAGCATGGGTGGGAGGCAGTTCCGGATTATCCTCGTGGCAAAAGTAGCTACTACATATGTAGTAGCATACTACATATGTAGCTACTACATATGTAGTAGCTACAGTACACGTGTAGTAGCTACGGGCCCCGCACTTTCAAGGGCCCTTCGCTAAATGCTTTCAAGCTATCAATTCCGATTCAGTGATTCTGCACTTGCTCTATTACTATAGTACTATACCGCCTTCAACTTTTATGAACGACTGAGTGTTTAAGTTTAGCGGTTTGCCGTATTATCTGGCTGTATAGCAAATGCAAAAATACAATTACTTTACTGTGCAAGTTAAACATTTGTGTTTTAATATTTACGTTTTTTTTTTTATTTAGGGCCCTTTATAACATATGCTATGTGTGTACACGCGTGTGTGTGTGTGTGTACACGCGCGGGTGTGTGGTGGGGTAGCGGTAGTGTAGCGGTTAGCGCTCTGCCCGGCGAATTTGGCGACCCGGGTTCGATTCCCCGCTCACGGCCAACACCGGTGACGATTATCCGAACCGGTCCTCGACACAGCCTCGAATGAGTGGCCTGGAGCGATGTGTAAGCGTCGCCACTGGGGAGACAAAGGCGGGCGGGTGGGCGTGGTGCTGGTCACCCCCCCCCCCCCTCGTGTGCCACAGTGCCGGCCTTCAAATGTGCTCGCTAACAGCACTTGCCCCAACAGTCCGTTAAGTCTACATGGGGGATCTTTGTGTCTTTGTGCGTGTGTGTGTGTGTGTCTGAGTCACCTAACACACACGGGGATTATTGTCTTGACAGATACCACTCTGTGTGGTATCAGATATCGCGTCTCGGACCGACAGTCTAATGACACAAAGCCAAAGATCCACCCCCACACCACACCAGTGGTGTGGCGAGCGAGCAGAACCTTTGAAGGCCGCCAGTGTGGGCACACGTGGGGGTTGGGTGAGCAGCAACCACGCCCTGCCGCCCCAGCGGCGATGTTTACACACCGCACCATGTACTCATTTGAGGCGGAGTCGACCTAGGGGAGGCCCACGACCGGTGTTGGGCCGTGAGGGGGAATCGAACTCGGGCCGCCGGCTTCGTAGCGCAGCGCGCTAACCGCTGCGTTAGCCTCTCTAATTTATGCGCCACCGCGCTAACCGCTGCGCCACCGCTCTCCCCACAAGTCTAATGACTCACACACACACGCACGTACGCATCACAACATCGCCACTGACACACTTAGGCGTGTGGCCAACAATGTTTGTTGAGCACGTGTGTTAAGTGTGTGTGTGTTGATGCATGAGGGTGTGAGCGTGTCAGTATATCAGTGGGTGAGTGTGTCAATTGGTGACCGCGTCGGAGTGTCAGTGGGTTCACGTGATTGTCAGTCCGTCAATGCGTGAGCGTGTCAGCGTGTGAATGTGTCAGTGTGCGTGTCAGTGTGTGAATGTGTCAGTGTGCGTGTCAGTGTGTGAATGTGTCAGTGTGCGTGTCAGTGTGTGAATGTGTCAGTGTGCGTGTCAGTGTGTGTGAGCGTGACAGTGTGAGTGTGAGCGTGACAGTGTGAGTGTGAGCGTGTCTGTGTGTGAATGTGTCAGTGTGTGTGAGCGTGTCTGTGTGTGAATGTGTCAGTGTGCGTGTCGGTGTGTGTGAGCGTGTCTGCGTGTGAATGTGTCAGTGTGCGTGTCGGTGTGTGTGAGCGTGTCAGCGTGTGAATGTGTCAGTGTGCGTGTCGGTGTGTGTGAGCGTGTCTGTGTGTGAATGTGTCAGTGTGCGTGTCGGTGTGTGTGAGCGTGTCTGTGTGTGAGCGTGACAGTGCATGACAGTGTGAGTCTGTGCGTGTGAGTGTGTCACTGTGTGAGTGCGTGTCAGTGCGTAACAGTGCCAGAGTGTGTGAGCGTGTCAGTCTGCGTGTGAGCGTGTCAGTGCGTGACAGTGAGCGTGTCAGTGCGTGACAGTGAGCGTGTGAGTGCGTGTCACTCTGCGTGTCAGTCTGCGTGTGAGTCCGTGCCAGTGTGCGTGAGTGTGCGTGAGTGTGCGTGAGTCTGCTTTTGAGTGTGTCAGTGCGTGACAGTGTGAGTGTGAGCGTGCGTGTCAGTGTGTGAGCGCGTGTCAGTGTGTGTGAGTGTGCGTGAGAGTGTGTGTCAGTGTGTGAGCGTGTCAGTCTGCGTGTGAGTGCGTGCCAGTGTGTGTGAGTGTGTGTGCTAACACGTGTTGTCGTGTGAGTGTGTGTGAGTATGTGTGAGTGTGTGTAAGTGCGTGCCAGTGTGTGTGAGTGTGTGTGCCAGTGTGAGTGTGTGAGTGTGTGTGAGTGTGTGCCAGTGTGTGTGAGTGTGTGTGTCAGTGTGTGTGAGTGTGAGTGAGTGTGTGTGTGCTAACACGTGTTGTCGTGTGAGTGCTTGCGTTGGCACGGACGTGAGTGTGTGCATGAGTGGGTGCTAAGTGTGCTCTCTGTTGCTGTGTGCGTGTCTGCGCGAGTCTCTCTGTGTGTCTCTCTATGTGTGTACGTGGCTGTGTGTATGTATGCGCATGTGTGTGTGTGCGTTTCTGTACGTGGCTGTGTGTATGTATGCGCATTTGTGTGTGTGCGTGCGTGTACGTAGCTATGTGTATGTATGCGCATGTGTGTCGCGTTTAGGCAATACGGAAATATTTGTCTGTATCTGTCCCTGACCGTGTGTCTGTGTATATAAGTGTCGTAAGTGTGTGTGTCTGTGTCTATGTGCGACTGTGTGCATCCTCGTGTCTTAAGTGTCTGGAGATGCACGCGTGCACCTACCGGGGAGCGGTGGTGCAGCGGTTAGCGCTACGCTGCGCTACGAACCTGGCTACCCGAGTTCGATTCCCGCTCACGGCCAAGACCCAGTGACAATTATCTGAACCGGTCTTGGGCCTCTCCTACGTCGACTCGGTCTCAAATGAGTACCTGGTGCGGTGTGTAAACATCGCCACTAGGGAGACAAAGGCGGTCGGGCGTGATGCTGGCCACCCACCCCCTCGTGTGCTGTGCCGGCCTTCATAGGTGCTCGCTAACTTTACTTGCCCTAACCGTTTGTTCAGTCTATATGGGGATCTTTGTATTTGTGTATATGTATGTCTGTAGGTGTGTGTATGTTTGTCTGTATGTGTGTATGTTTGTCTGTATGTGTGCATGTCTATCTGTGTGTATGCATGTCTGCATGTATGTGTGCTTCAGTATATGTCTATCTGTATGTGTGTGTGTGTATGTTTGTCTGTATGTACGTGTGCGTGCGTGCTAATACCTGTCCGGACGCCTCCCCCCTGCGTCGACTCAGCCTTAAACGAGGACCTTGCGCGGTGTGCACATACATCAGCACTGGGGAGACAAAGGCGGCCGGTCGTGGTGCTGGACACCCACCTCCCCCTTGTGCCCCCCTCCTTCTTCTTCTGGACTTAATAGTTGCTCACTCACGATATAAGAAGACTCTATGGGGCATCTTCCTGTTTAAATACACGTCTGTCTGTCCGTGTGTTTCTATGTATGTGCATACGCGACTGTGCATCTGCGTTTATGTGTTTGTGAGCAAACTGTGCGTCTGTATGTTTGTACGTGTGAGTTTGTACAACCGTGTCTATACATGCGGCTGTGTGTGTGTGTGTCTGTGGGCTAAGGGGGAACTTTAGTAGAGCGCACCGGTTGCTTGAGACCCTCGGGTTGCGTTCAGTGAGAAGTGAAGCAAAAACCCCGTTCCCCTCTCTCTCCCCAACACCACCACCCAGCCACTCAGAGGCGCACCCACCCGTAGCTCCCCCCTCCTCCCTCCATCCCTCCCTCCAACCCTCTCCTCCCCATCCCCCTTCCTCCATTTATACATCCATCCTCCCTCCCAAATCTCCCTTCTCCTCGTCCTCCACCTCTTACCTCGCCCCCCTCCCACACCCCCCGTCCCACCCTCTTTGTATTCCTCCCTCCTCTCCCTCCTTCTACCTCCCCCGGCTCCTACCCACCTCCCCCCCAATCTCCCTCAACTCTTCTTCCACGCATCCATCCCTTCAATCTTCATTCATCCACCCTTGCTTCATCCCTCCCTTCTCTCGGACTGAAGTGACACAACCGTGTCGTGCGCACACACACACACACATCACGCGCACACACACATCGCACGCGCACACACATCGCGCGTGCGCGATCAGAATCGCACCTATTGTCTCCGCAGGTGCTGATCTTTGCACACCGCACC